AGCTTCTTTTTGAGCCATGGCACAACATTCAGGTAAAATGTGCAATACAAAAATAGAACAACAAAGGTAATTTCGGCTGAAATCATTTTATTTTTAACAATAATTGACACTGTAGCAACAACACAATAAATGTATTTAATTAAATAGAAATTTTAACGAATATTTCATTAAAATTGTAATTAAAACTGTGTTTCTGTGCATTGGTGTCTTTTGTGTGCATGTGTGTATGCTTGTCAAATAATGTCAAACATTTTGTTAAAGATTGTAATATCTTTGACAAAAAACAAAACACAAAAACACTTTAACATTTCCTGTAGCTATACCAGTCAGTGGTGCGTTTTCCAAAGCCAACGCTAGTTCCGTCGTTACCAATAGAGTTCAATAGAAACTGCGATCATAGTTGGCCAACGATGCTTTCGGGAAACGCACCCCAGGCCAGTTAGATATTTTGCTGCATTCTCTCAAAGGCAGTCTTTGCAGATATAACCTTACAGATGCCATTATCCTCTCCATAGCTCTCGTGGTACCAACTTGCACTGACAACATCCCGATGTCGGTGAATAAAATTCAGAGTCATTGTTATTTGACGCTTAAAAAACGTAAAACCTGGTTGTGGTACAGTGATTAGTTATGAAATCTTACTACATAAATTCTATCTTATTTAATCCTCCATATGAAAGTTTATGTGCTCGAATTATTCATATTTATTAAAAAATAGTTCAAAACAAGGCGTTTGTACAGATTTTTTAAATATTTATCGAACTTCCATGCCTCTATAGTGGCCTAATCATAATATTTTTTAACGCAGGTGCTGAGGGAGTGCTAGACCATTGACAGGGGGAGCATCGCAATTATATATACTATTAATAATAAATGAGCAAAACTTGGCCACTCAGTATTTCATATTCAATTATTTTATTTATCTCAATTAAAGTTTTAATTTTATTAAATTTAACAAGCACAACATTCAGCATTTAATCAAATATTCTTAAAGATTTTTGCATATTGACATTCATTTAACAACATTTATGAATTTCAGTCAAGGGCAATATTATGCCATCAAAAAGCACCCAGACTGGGGAATCAAATGTCATTTGTTGTCTTAAATCATTTTCTTATTTATTAATTAGAATAAGCGCTTGGTGAAGAAAAAAAACGTATCTCGTTATTTCGGGATATTATGCCGGTATTTCAACATAATAGGCTATCTCGTTATTTCAACATAATATCTCGTTATTTCGACATAATATGTGTGCGTGTTACAAGCAAGATGTGCATTTGTAAATCCAGTGACGCGTGCATTGATTTTATTAATAAACTATAGTGTTGACGTGTCACTGTGTCTTCTGTACAGTTCTGTCTCAGAAGATTACAGACTAGACTACAGTTGTTGTGTAGAGTTGACGGTCGCCATCTCCGTAGTGAACGCGCCAATAGAGAAATGCACATGCCTTTATTTATTTTTTGTTTGTTTTTTGTTGTTTATTCATGTAAGTGGAGTGGAACTCTGTATAAACCCAATTGGGTTTCGTTCCCCTCCTTGTACTGTATCCTTGTGATATCCGTGCAGAACAAAAAAAAAAAAAAAGAAACAAAAAAGAGTAGGCTATTTATTTTCGTTTTGAATTGTTTCGTTTAAAGCCATTTCAAGCTTTCTATAGATATATTTCTCATGTCTGTGTCTGTGAGGCATACGCTGAGTTTCGGTTAATTTATGATGAGATGTGCTCCAGTTCACGTGCAATGCAATGACCGCGCCGGCGCCTCCATGTCATGATTATACTATTGTCTGCTATATTTGCTTCTTATTAATTAAATCCAGGTAATTGGTTGATGAAAAATTGATTAAAATGAAGATACAATTTATATAAAACGAAATTCACTTTAAAGAAAGGCTTTCTACTAAACAAAACTTAATGAAGTGGTCAAAATCATGTCTGTCGACAGTCGACCACTCCATGTCTCTGGATATATTGCGTATACTTTTCAAAATCAACATAGATGGGGGAAAAAAAACATTATAACAAATATGAAACTAATGCGCTTATTTAATGGCTACAACATAAAGTAGGCTAACAGACTCTCTATTTGTACAAATTGCTGCACATTCATTTAATTCTGAATTTTGCACACATAAATTGAAAGGCATTTGTTTGTGCATATAAAACATATCTGCAACATTTATCAAGTTCAAGGATAATTGTGCATGCATTTATTAATTATGATACTAAAATCATAAAAAAGTAGGCTACACTATGTAAAAAAATCAGATGAGCCCAGAATATATATGCAATGCGTTTAATTACATGTTATTAAGCATTTTCCTCCCATATAAAATCATTATAAGAACGCTTAATGTGGCTTAATGCAGTTTAGATGTTATTATGTCGAAATAATTAGTAATGTCGAAATAACAGATAATTATGTCGAAATAACGACTTATTATGTCGAAATAGAAAGTTTTCTTTTTTTTTCCTGCAGCATTTGTTTCAGGGCTTCTATAGAACACAGCCTGAATATAATTGATTCCAGAAATAATTTTTGGGGGTGCTGGGGTGCTTTGGTCTTTCTTGGGGGTGCTGAAGCACTGCTAGCCCCTCTCTATGCCGCCCATAATTATTAATGCTCGGACAGACTCGGTCTCTCTCGCGCAGTTCGCTTCGCACAGTTTTAATGACAATTTTAATGAAATATTCGTTAAACTTTCTTTTTAATTAAATACATTTATTGTGTTGTTGCTACAGTGTCAATTTATTGTTAAAAATAAAATTATTTCAGCCGAAATAACCTTTGTTGTTCTATTTTTGTATTGCCCATTTTACCTGAATGTTGTGCCATGGCTCAAAAAGAAGGTAGCCTACCTGCTCAATTTAAAACCATTATACTTTTTTGCGCTTAAAAATTAAATATGTTTAAGAGACCCAAGCTAATTTATAACAATATCGTTAGATGTCATGCATGGCTTATTTGATGGTATTATAAGTAATTTACCAAAACATGGCCCATTTTAGCTGACTTCACCCTACTTTGATGGAGTAATTCTGTATATTTAAATATAGTTAAAATGCAATACTAGCAATTCTATAGTATTTGTCAATAATATAGCCATGCTACTCCAAATGTCATGCTAATGAAGCAACTTGAACTTGATACAGTGTGCGAGAGAGACCGAGTGTGTCCAACAACGCAGTGCGCACGAGCTTGAACACATTGAACCACCGTGACTTACAACGCGAAAATTATTTAAAAAAATTCAATATGTTTAAGAAACTTTTTATATTAACTTATATTATTTTGTTGCTCTGCAGTAGTTGTCAGTGCAACGATGTACAACGATATTTTACTGACATAAACACGTGTGTGATATTGTACGAATATATTCAGCATAGACCGTTTGATATTCAACATATCAATATATTATATTCAGATATAAAGCCTGAATAGTAATTGGCATCATACCTCAAATTTGCTGCTGCGGTATAAAAGTATGAAATACTCGCGAGCAGACACCCTCGGTCTCACAGTGAGCCCAGCCCACCCATACGAGAAGTGTCAGCTCTTATTTTGAAAAGGGCTTACTGAGGGGACGTGACATCACCTTGAAGCAATACCCCTGATTGGCTGACTACACGTGTGGATCGTAGTCACACACTCTGCGGAAAGATAGTGCCAAAAAGATTTGTAGACGTGTGCAGAGGGATCTGTGAATGCCCTGTGATCTGCAAACACAGATTCAACACTTGCATGCTAAGCTTTGCACAGAATGTGTACGAATGTCTTTTTACAATGGTTTGAAAATACAAGTTAGACCGTGTTTGTTTGCAAATTGTGAGGAGGGCATTTGTAGAATTTTTAATGGGAAAAACAGCGAAACAGTTGTGCCAAAATTCTGAAAACAAATGCAACAAAATCTACAAACAAATAATGACCCTCATGCGCAGACAAATCACTTTGCATTCATTCAAATTTTTGTTGTCAAGTACAGGTCACTGATTTCTATTTGTGAATCATAAAGAGTTTGTTTGCAGATTTTAAATCTATTTGTAGATCCTATTTTATATTTGTATGTCACGAAGAGTCTGTTTGTGGATTTTTTTATCTATTTGTAGATCTTGTTTTACATTTGCGGATCATGAGGAGTTTGTTTGCAGATTTGGAATCTATTTACAGATTGTGTTTTACATTTGCAGATTATGAGGAGTTTGTTAGCAGATTTTAAATTTATTTGTAGATCTTGTTTTGTGTTTACAAATTGTAATATGCATTTTTGACTCATAGTCTCTTCATTTTCAATGATTATGGCATTATTTTGTCACATCAGCGAAACAATAGTGTCAGAATTCTGAAAACAAATGTGACACAATCTACAAACAGAACATGATCTTCACCTGCAAACAAGTCACTTTACATTCATTCAAATTCTGGTTTTCAAGTACAAGTCACTGATTTCTATTTGTGAATCAGGATGTGTTTATTTGTGGATTTTTTATCTTTTTGTAGATCATGGTTTATATTTGTGGATCACGAAGAGTTTGTTTGAGGACTTTGTATCTATTTGTAGATCTTGTTTAACATTTGCGGATCATGAGGACTTTGTTTGCGGATTATTAATCTATTTCTAGATTGTGTTTTGTGTTTACAAGTTGTAATATCTATTTGTGACTTTTAGTCTGTGCATTTTCAATGGTTTAGGCATCAATTTACCCCCATACAGTTCGGTATGGTGCAGATTGCGCACACAAGAGAGCCCTGCACATCTGGGCGGAGCTGTTAGCGCAAGCGAGGCAGGAGGAGTTAGCGGAGGCCGGAGAGGGAGAAGTGGAGGAGAGCGACGAGGAGGAGGAATTCACCAATGAACTTGTAGTTGAGGATCACGGTACTGACTGACAGAACTAGTGTGACTGGGTTTTAAAACAGACTATTGGAAACTAAATGCTGCTGTAGCTCTTCAATAAGATGATCATCATAGATGTGAACTATTGTTATTTCTCTGTCTTCAGTCTGAGTGATTGCAGTATGACAGAGAAACAGAGTCTCATCCTGACTTCAGCTCTGAAATCAAACCCGTCACACCTGAGAGAGCTGAACTTGAGCTGGAATAAACTAGGAGACTCTGGAGTGAAAAACCTCAGTGATCTACTGATGAACCCACAATTCAAGCTGGAGAAACTACAGTTAGTATCATTATACTGTACAGCAATTACAGTGTGACTGAAGTTTATTTATTTGAAGACAGCAGGGCTTATGTTTCATTGGTTATAGCAGTGCACTTTCTGGGTTTCCCTATTGCTCACATTTGTATGTGTTTTGTTTATCTACACTCTGTGTAATTATTCTGTGGCTTAGCAAATATCACAGTAATATTTAACTTTATTAACTTAATAAAATCTCTGAATATCATTTATTTGATTGTTTGAGTTAAACATACAAAAATAATTGATCCAACAGTTCATTTCATCTAAAGTTTACAGTTATATTTAATTTTTTTTTCACTATAAGAATTTAGTATTTGACTAACCAATTATTTATTTATAATACACTTAAAGCTGCAGTCCGTAGCTTTTTTGGGTTAAAAATGATCCAAAATACATATTTGAGAAAATACATAACCAGCCAGTGTTCAAAACTCTCTGCTTGCCGTAGCTCGATTCAAAGCGGTAAGCTTGTAATAATGTTTTTAATTCCAGTGGTACTGGTGGATTTCAGCGGGAGATTCGAGCATGTCTTTGCGTCATTACGTCACATCTGTACACACACACCTGTCCACACACACATCTGTCCACACACACATCTGTACACACACACACATCTGTACACACACACACCTGTACACACACACACATCTGTACACACACACACACACACACACACATCTGTCCACACACATCTGTCCACACACACATCTGTACACACACATCTTTACACACACACACACACACACACATCTGTACACACACATCTGTACACACACACACACACACCCACACACACACACACACACACACACATCTGTCCACACACATCTGTACACACACACATCTGTACACACATCTGTCCACACACATCTGTACACACACACACATCTGTACACACACACACACACACATCTGTACACATAAAGAAGAGTCTCGGCTAGTAGGCTATATTGTGTGTGAGGATGTTGGAGGTGGAGATTTATAGCCTTTTCTCACAGCACTTGATATAATTAAAGGATCCAGAAAGGTTCAAATGACAATCACCAGTGACAACAGATTCACCCGCTGTAACATGCAAAAGACTTCGTTCGGACTTCGGATTGGCTACAGAAAAAAGAGACTTTAACCGGCCCATGCGAAAACAAGGATACATATCGGAAGGACATTATATGTAGTCACGCAATGCTTGCTTACGCTGTTAACATTAACAATTTGAGAACATCGGCGCAGTGACTGACACACACACTCTCCTCAAACACTGTGTTCATCCGCGCTGTGCAGTGTCGAGGGTGTTGAAGTACAACTCACAAAAAGTGGATAATTCCACGAATGACTGCAATTGCAGATTTCGAAAAGAGATGGCGACAAAGAGGAAAAACGCCCCCCCCCCCAAACCCCCCCCCCCCCCCCCGAACCCCCCGACCTGACGACAGCTCAACGGTTGAGTGAGCGCGCTTCAGTCTCCAGATCAGTTCTCTCTTCTCAGCATCGCAGAATTGGTGCATTTCCTCTGGGAAATTCAGGTGTGTGTATGTTTTATTTTATCTTTTATTTTATAAAATCATTACTGTGCTTTAAATCATTTTATGTAATGCGAAACAACATACTGGGACGCAATGTGAGTCACCTAAACGAGTGTCACGTCTGTCTTTTCGCTGATTGAAATGTCTGATGGCTTGCATAAAACACACGACTTTATTCCTAAAGATAATGAATATAACTACTTTGGATGATAAATGTTCTCAGAACTGAGCACTGTTTGTTTATTGGCAGGTTATGGAGTCGCAGCATCTTTCAGCTCTGAGTGAAACACAGGACGGCGGTCTGAAGGTGGAAGTTCCCCCGCAGAGCGCGAGTCCATCTCCGGCACCAGAACCAGCGCTGATCCGGTGGAAACTGGAGAACAGACCGGTTGATTACACTTGAATTAGGCGACCTGAATGTTTAAATGTTTCATTTTTACTTCTAAAATGTTTGTTACATGAGTTTAAATGTAGGCAATGTTGTATACATGTTAAAACAGTGTAAAATATGCTGTATTGATGTAACGTTACTCATCGACAATAAAGGCCAATGTCATGTACAGCTACCGGTGGTGTAGGGAATACTATTTCACAAAGGTTTAGAGAAAATAAAAAAGTTAATTACTCATAAATATTGATATTTTTTATATTTTTCCACAATTATTTCTACTCAATTTTATTGGTTAATGTACCAGATGCAGTCACTCGGATCTACAATTTTTGGTAACACTTTAGAATACTGTATCTTACTTCCTGCATAACTAATAAGGAATTATTGAAGAACTAGTAATTCTTCATTAACTACTTCTTCACTGCTGTTAACTACTAAGGAAGATGTGTTTACTAATCAGTATGTAATAGAATTTTATGATTGTGTTAAGTTACAGTTAGTTGATCAATAACTAATGAATTCTGTCATACCTCCCGAAGAACTACCATTAATTATCTATTAATTAAGGTTCAAGAAAAATAACTGAAGTAACTACTAATGAACAGTCATACACAGTAGCCTAGTCACTACAATAATCCAGTTTTTTTTTTAGCATTGTAGTGGTGGAAGAAGAACACAAATCAAGTACTTGAGTAAAAGTAAAAATACCCCAATAAAATATTACTCCAGTACAATTATAATTAGGCCATTTTCAAAATTACCTTAGTAAAAGTACAAAGGTAATTAATTTTTAAAGTAGCCTACTTAAAAAGTAAAAAGCATATTATTATACTTAGTTCTTATACATTTTAAACTTATTTTGCACCATTCAAGTTCTGGCAATATCACGGTAGCCTACATTTTACAGTGATTTGGTGATGCAAGAGCGCGGGCATTTGCATCCTCTTCTGGAGAGTTCTCAGCGCCGCCGATTTGGTGCATTTCTTCTGCGAAAAACAGGTTTGTGTACGTTTTATTTAATCTGTAAAATCATTACTGTGCTGTAAATCATTTTATTTTATGCAAGGCAACATACAAGGACGCGATGTCAGTAAGCCTAGCTGAGTCTGTCTTTTTTGCGTGATGGAAACGCCTGATCCCTTGCATAAAACAAATTATTTTATTCATAAATATAGTAAATCTATTTACATCAGATGTTAAATATGTTCTTAGAGCTGTGCACTGTTTGTTTATGGGCAGTGAAACGCAGGGCGGTGGTCTGAAGTTAAGCAGTTTCCCCGCCGAACACGAGCCCAGCTCCCGCAAGAGATCCAGCAACACTACCGTGGAAACGAGACCAGTTGATTACTTTAATTACTTTTAAAGGTTTAACTTTTGATTATAAATGTTTGTTAAACAAGTTTAAATGTAGGCAGTATACATGTTAAAACAAAATATCATCTAAAATAAAGGAAGATATCATGTAGCTTAAACGAGTCATTGTCGTGTATTTTACAAAGGTGATTACGTTAATAGTGTTTTTTAACAGTAAGTTTTATTTGAGTCAGAAGTATGTGGTAATTCTTTATTAATTACTAATGGGTTCCCTATATTTTCACTTTAGAATACTGTTTCAGGTTATAAGTAATTCCTGAAGAATTATCTAATAATTCTTTATTAATTACTAATAAGTTCCCTATATTTTCACTTTAGAACACCGTTTCAGGTTATAAGTAGCCTAATTCCTGGATAATTATTTGATAATTCTTTATTAATTACTAATGGGTTCCCTATATTTTCACTTTAGAATACTGTTCCAGGTTCTAAGTAATTCCTGAAGAATTATATAATATTTATTTATTAATTACTAATAAATTCCCTATATTTTCACTTTTGAACACAGTTTCAGGTTATAAGTAGCCTAATTCCTGGATAATTATTTGATAATTCTTTATTAATTACTAATGGGTTCCCTGTATTTTCACTTTAGAATACTGTTCCAGATTATAAAAATTACTGGAGAATTATCTAATAATTATTTATTAATTACTAATAAGTTCCCTATATTTTCAGTTCCCCTCAGTTGTTGCCTAAAATACATGAATTTACTCAATTGCATTCTAAGCTGAGGAAAACAGACACACACAGTACTGTATATAAAATATAAAAACTAATCTGAGGTTAGTTTTGTATGACTGTTCATTAGTTACTACTTAGTTGTTTTTCTTGAACCTTAATTAGTAGATAATTAATGGTAGTTCTTCAGGAGGTATGCCAGAATTCATTAGTTATTGATTAACTAACTGTAACTTAAAGCTGCAGTCCGTAGCTTTTCCTCTTTGTCGCCATCTCTCTGTTCGAAATCTGTAACTGCAGTGATTCGCGGAATTATCATCTGTACGTGGGTTGTAAATCGGCATGAAACAGCGCGGATGAACACAGTGCTTTGAGGCGAGTGGTGCTGTCAGTTACCGCGGTGTGTGGATACTGGCATACAGAATCACAGATTCACTTTTTGAAAGTTTGACCAACATAAGAATTTTCATAAGAAAATGTCTTCTGAACAAGTAAGTAACATCCATTTTTGTTCTGACCAACTAAGGGGGAAAAAGCATTCGACATGATAAGCTTCGTTAGATTTAATCAACGCGATTTACAGCAACCGTGCAAATTATAGCCTACTTTGTTCTCAAATTGTTCATGTTAACAACATCACATCAGCATTGCGTGACTAATTTTAAATTTAATGTGTTTTACCTGTGTAGTTCAGAATTCATATTCTCCATAATAGCAAAACGAGAAAGGCACAACAAAGGAAACTCCATAACTGTGTGAATTAAGAAAACGTACTGTTACACGATTGAACTATTGAAATGTCTTACTTGTTCAGCAGAAAAAAGCTGTCTCTTCTTCCGTTTCGAACCCCTTCAAAACACGGAGTTCACGCACTTTTCAAAAGCCCCGCCGATGTTTAAATCCTTGTGTTCGCATGAGACGGTTTCTTTCTCTTTCTCTAGCCACCTTAAATCCGAAGTACGAAGTCTTTTGGGTTTTATAACTGCTGAATCTCCAGTTGACACTGATGATTGTTGTTTAGATCTTTCTGGATCTGCCATAAGTGTAATTATGTAAAGTGCTGCGAGAAAAGCCTATA